CCCCCCCCTGCCAGCCCCATCCTCAGGGACTTCAGCTTCCAGTCACCACAAGGCAACAGCTACCAAGAAACATACACCCCAGTCACCCCCACAGATGTGGGGCAGGGCATGGGGGTCATCAAGCAGTCTCTCCAGCACAGGAAGAGGAATTAGAGACACCCCAAGTGCACCCCACCCCCTGCCCCACATAGATAACCCCTCTCCCAGCAAACCAGCCTTAACACCCCCCCAAGTAACTCACACACTCCATGGCAGCTACTCCACACACAGCTGTTACCACCACACACCATGAGCCTCCACCCCAGCCAGGAGCTTTAAATACCCAGACACCCCACCTGTGGCCCAATCAGGCCGCCCCAGCCCTACAGAACTGGCCAATTAGAGGGGAGAGGGGTGTGGGCAGGTGGAGCCCCAGCTGGTCAGGTGGGCGGGGCCAGAGAAGACAGCTGCACTCACTCTGGAGCCCTGCCCCCCTTCGCTCCCCGGCCAATCAGAAACGGAGCCGTGGGCAAACTACAATTCCCAGCATGCCTCGCTCCCATCCTGCCTTGGGAGCTCCCGGCCTATAAAAAGGACACCATGGGCCTCGTTCTTTCACTTTGGTGGGTGGGGGGAAGAGAGGGAGAGTGTCTTTTTTTTCACATGCCCATGGTGAGAAACTGAGGCAAAGATCCGGCCTGATGCCTTCTGGGGCAGGTGTGTGCTTGTAATCAGATGCTTGGGGTGTGTACCCCAAATTAATGCTGGCTCCCTTTCCCCTTTGGGGTCAAAGTTGCTTTTCTACACACAGCGGGACCTGGGGGTGGTGCGTCTCTTAGCCACGCTCCCCGGCTGGCGGGGGGCTCATGCCGATTCTGTTTTGGGGGGTTAAGAAGAACCTCTAGATCAGGCCTCAGGGAGCAGCCAAGTGCTTTGAGCAGTCTGGGGGTGCACCTGGCTCCCCAGCCCCTCCCGCACCCCAACTCCCTGCCCCATGTCACCCTCTGCACCCCCTCATCTAGGTCACAATCCCCTCCTAGACCCTGCAAATCTAACAGGCTGGAGTTCAACCCCTCCAAACCAGCGACAGCACTTTCATTGGCATCCCCGGAGAGGATAGAACGCCACAGCAGACGGGGGAAAGGGTCACAATGGTGACGGGACGGTGTCTGTAGGAGGCGAGATGAATAAGTCTGGGACTTTTCAGCTTGGAAAAGAGACAGCCAAGGGGGTAGACGAGAGAGGTCCATAAAATCACGCCAGGTGTGGAGAAATCCATCCGTCTTTGCTTATTTACGCCTGCCCGTATCACAAGAACAAGGGGTCACGCCATGACATGAACAGGCAGCAGGTTTAAAACAAACCAAGGTATTTCCTCGTACAGTGCACAGCCAACCTGTGGAACTCCTCGCCAGAGGGCGCGGTGAAGACCAGAGCTTTCACAGGGTTCAAAAAAGAGCTAGATAAATTCGAGGATGGCTATTAAGCAAGGATGGGGTCACAGATTAATAGAACCCTAGAACTGGAAGAGAACTCCAGAGTCTAGTCCCCTGCCCTCACAGCAGGACCAATTACCATCTGGCCATCCCTAGTAGAGGTCTGTCCCACCTGCTCTTAAAAACCCCTCTGATGGAGATTCTACCACCCCGCTAAGCAATTTATTCCAGTGTAACACTCAACAGGCAGAAAGTTTTTACTTCTGTCCAACCTCAACTTCCCTCGCTGCCATTTAAGCCCATTGCTTCCTGCTCGTTTAGTAACCTCCTCGCTTATCTTTCACTTTCCACCGGGTCTTCCTCCGAGTATGTAATAACCCAGGGATGCTACTGCTGTCGCGACATCTGGTGGGGAGAGATCTCGTAGGCTATGTCTGCACTCGCGGCTTCTTCCAGGAGACATATGCAAATGAGCCTCATTTGCATACCTAATGAGCCACCATTTTTTTCAGAAGAGGCTCTTGCGCCAGGAGTGTCTACACTGCCCCTTCTGGCACAAGAAAAGCCCTCTTGCGCAACGCCGTTACACCGGTTACTTTTCAGGAAGAACGGCGTTGAGCAAGAGAGTTTTTCTTGCGCAAGAGCCTCTTCTGAAAAAAATGGTGGCTCATTAGGTATGCAAATGAGGCTCAGTAATATTCCATATGTAGCCTCATTTGCATATTTCTCCCAGAAGACGCCGCCAGCGTAGCCATAGCGGAAGGGCCCTGCCCACAACCGTATCCCAGCAGGGCTGAAGGTTCGACTTCCTGGGTTCTGTTTCTGGCTGGGGAGAGGAGCGTGGCCTAGTAGTTAGAGTGGGACTATGGGACTGGGAGGCAGGACGGCTGGGTCTTGGTGTCCGTGCCGAGATGCTGTTCATCACAGGCCGCATCTGCCCGGGGAAGGCTCAGAGCCAAGCGGTGTGGGGAAGCACCCCACAGCACAGTGGGGAGAGACAGCCCAGCTGTGTGGCTCTGTTTCTGGCTGGGGAGAGGAGCGTGGCCTAGTAGTTAGAGTGGGACTATGGGACTGGGAGGCAGGACGGCTGGGTCTTGGTGTCCGTGCCGAGATGCTGTTCATCACAGGCCGCATCTGCCCGGGGAAGGCTCAGAGCCAAGCGGTGTGGGGAAGCACCCCACAGCACAGTGGGGAGAGACAGCCCAGCTGTGTGGCTTTGGAGGCTCTCCGTGCTGTGGGGCGTCCGAGCGGTGCGGCTGTCCCCGCGGCACCAGCCTGCTGCTTGGTCACT